TGTTCTTTGTGTAGAGTTTTGTTCAACTGGACTCTTGTTCAATTTGGTGTGGTGTACATAACAAACAAATACTTCAGGGAGGTAGCCATGAATGACTGCATTCATTCAACAAAATCATACTAGCTGTGCAAACCTTATAGTACGATGTAATCATTCTATGAACCCTGTGTTCACTTGCAGATGAAGGTGTGCACAAAAACTAAATTACCAGCGTGTCCAGCCAACAAAACTCTCCGTCAAAAAACACAAATAACTCACAGTCACAGGCACGCAGAACATAAATGAAATCCTCCATTGCTATATTTTGCAAGCAGGCTGCATGACACAGCTTTGGCGCGGCATACTGTTGTGCAGAACAGTACAGCAGACTGTTGTGTGGAACAATACAAACATTTTTTGCATTAGTTTCAATAACGTATAGAATACGTAAGAAAACCTTGTATGAAGAAAATTGTCGTATTTTGATCACAGAATTCTATCTGTCACTTCAATATAGTGACAAGGTCTGTGGTAACTGTGCTGAAGCATGACTTCCATGAAGAGGCTACGTCTTAAGGAGATAGTTGTATTCTTGCTCACGGAATTCCTCGGCACCGCTATACCTTCAGCATTCTCCGTGAAAATGGGTGCTCATTTTTTGCAGTGTAGTTGTTTTCCCGAAACCCTTGCGGCAATACTTCTTGAAGCATTCTCGCATTAGGCTTTAAGGAACAGAACTGCCGAATGTTTGCAAAATGAATGAATGATCTTGCTGGTACTTAGCTACGAAGCAGAAACTTGTAGAGTTACAAAGAGAATTTAGCCTAACTTGAGGATGACGCAGCGAAAAATTGAAAGAAAATTGGTAGGTGTTACCTTAAGAGGCAGGAAGAGAGCAGAATAAATTAGGGAACAGATGGGGGTGAAGGATATTATTGTGGAAATCAAGAAGAGAAAATGGACATGGCCGGGCATGCAGCAAGAAGACAGGGTAACCGCTGGTCATTAAAGGTAACTGACTGGATTCCCACAGAATGCAAGTGGGTTAGGTGGAGACAGAAAGTTAGGTGGGCAGATGAGATTAGGAGGTTTGCGTGTATGAAGTGGCAGCCGCGAGCACAGGACCAAGTTGACTGGCAGAACATGACAGAGGTCTTTGTCCTGCAGTGGACGTAGTCTAGCTGAGGATGATGATGATGATGATGACCACGCAAGACATCGGTATTCTTTTCAGTGCCTGAGCCATGCCTCGACATTGGCAAGACCATTGTTACGCGCCTGGGTGCTAAAACAGGCTACTTGTTCGAGAAGGGTGGGCCGAAGCTGTCGTTGTTTGACGTGCCGAAGGATAAAAACGGGTGGACAGAATGGTGAAAAATCTGCACAGAGTGGATAAGCCCCTGGAAGACACCAGCGCAGTTTACGAACTCCAATTCGAGCCGCGTTATGTACTCAGCGACAATGTGCATATTACAGATGGAAACGAAGTGCGAATACCTCGTGGAAAAATTCTCCACGTCAATGCTTTGCCGACCCTTCTTTCAAATCTGCCAGCTTACCTATTTAAAAGATTAATACGAGAGAGGATGATTCGCAAAAAAAATCAATCGGAATTTTTACAAGGACAAATAAAACTGGCATTCTCTTCTATCGGGAATATGCTCTCTGGTCCACGTGCTCAGACCGATGACGCTTGTTAATGCAGCCTGCGAATGATCTCCACGAGCGTCTGCCTGTTACCATCCGATCTCATAAATTGGTTTTATTTTTACTTGGAAGTGCCTTCTGCGAACTGGAGCAAACACAGTTTCCTTGGCAAGACAGGGAAGCGGCAGAGGGCCAAGCAGCTGAATCTGAGCCGTTGCACATAAACTGAATAAAGTCTATAAATCAGAGGCTAGATGGTGTACTCAGAAAACACGTACTTCAGTTCTTGAAGATTACAGAAACAGGAGCTTCGTGTGTATCTTATTAAGCCGTTTATTATGTCGCTGTACAACTGCCTAGCCTAAGTGTATCTGTATATTTTTGATTATTATTAACCCCCCGATATCTGCTGTGTCATGTTCTACAACTGAAGCAGAACAAAAGTTATTTAAACGGTACACTTTCACTTAATAAAAAAGGCGCAAACTCAGTTGGCACGCCTGCATGTTAAAGCTTTTCTAGAAAGCAAATGTGCACTGTTTTCTAATTATGTCGTTCAGGGCAGGCATGAATTTGTTACGAAATCATTTTTGGCTATGTCTACACAGCATGAACCGTGCATTTTGTCACTGTGTCAAACCGTATATTATGAGAAATACATCATGCTTCTCGACAAGGGGATATATTCGAAGAAACATAATGTGACTCGATCAAATATGGTGCTTGTCAGAAATATGCAAAGAACTGAAGAACACCTCTCCCGGAACACACACTCTCACAGAGCGTTTACTGCGTCACACTAGAAAGAAAAAATCCCAAGCTGCGCGGACTGGCACTGAACTGATTTTCGGAAAGCTGCATCGCAAAAGAAAAGGGGAACACTGTGAAGCGAGAGCAACATGCACTCTCAATATATACAGAGGACAGCCAAAACATGCAAGTTTATTACAAATATCAAAAAACTGCACGTCGCAACTCTTGCGAGCGGCCATCCGCGACCAGCTTCTGCAAGGGAAGCTTCCATTGAAGATGCCTGTGGTGCCACCTCTCCTATGTGACGCCAAATTCTTCAGAAGAGCGGTGGATTAAGCCCACTGCCCTCTTCTAGTATGCTGTACCATAATCTATTAAAATGGTAGATGGTAGAATTCACCATTCCGATGGTGGACGTTTTTTTTTTCAATATGAGTAGGCAGACCTTTCTTTCAGGAGGGGCACTATTTTCGTGTGACCAGGGGCCGGATAGACAGATCTAGTTCAATGTCGTGTCCTTGATTGTGTGCCATTGCTAAAATTTAAACCATCTTGTGCTAAATAAACCATGTGTGGATGCAAAGCAGTGACTAGATTGTTCGCTTGAGCGAAAGATGGTGTACTTTATAGAGAGCTTGTGCTGGCGCTAACGCTGGCACAGGCGGCAGCCTCAATGCTGGCGCCTTTCGCGGCGTTGCGCAGGAGAGGTGGAGGCGCGCGAGCTCCGTGATTTTATACCGCGGAACTACCAAGGCACTCCCAGAGGAGTATGCAGCTGTCCCACCATGCACCTATCATGCGTGCCGCTCTGAAGAGTAGAGGATTCCTAAAAGAGAAAGACTGTTTGCTCAATGTGCGCTCCAACATTGAAGCCTCATGGACACCGAAGGCGGCGCGACAAAGCGGCGAAGCGGGATTTTCGAAGCAGCAAGGCGACTAGTGCGCGAACCTGTTCAGACCGCATGCCTCCTTCGTCTGACCACGCGGCAGAAGAGGCGAGCATCTCGCGATTTTGTGCACATGCCCCTATGACGTGCCAGTGCTTCTCCCAAACGACAACCCACGCCACCACCGCACATCCACTGCATGGCGTTCTCATTGGCTGCGGCAAAGCGGCTAGCCTCGGCAGGCAGCGAAAATTGCTTCGAGAGCAATCGGCCTTGCCGCCTAGTTTTTCGCCCGCTTTCGCCGCCTGGAGAAGAGGTTTTTTCCGCTTCCGGCGTTGCCGCCTAGCCGCTTTGGCCGCCCCACCTTCGGTGTGAACGAGCTTTGAGAGCGGTGAAGAGGGTGAAGCTAGTGAGATGAGACGCGGTGAGTGGTGCGAGGCTAGGGAGAGAGTGACGTCAACGCGCGCACACTAAGACGGATGGCATGACCTACTTCGCACCGCCCTAACTCATGCGGCCAAGTCCGTTCGGTGCGGACGGAAGGACAGCATTATACATGTTAGCCAAAGAGCTACTTTGCTTTGAAAAGTCACAAATTCGCTGCAAGGGCGAAGCGATGAATGCGATAGCAACAATTTGGAATTTATTGTTGAGAACGGCAAGCAGATCAAAACGTGCAGTGTGCTGCTCATGCACAAATGAAGCACAAAACAAAACATACAGGGCGAAACCCCATTAACAGCGGTGGTAGCGTGACACTTAGCGCGCTGTTTAAACAAAAACTACCCACATAACGTAATCACGGGTACTGATAAGAGAGAGAACTAACAAGTGTTCCTGTTACTTCGCTTTGTTTGAAAAGCGCGCTCTTTTAACAAACTGGGCCTGTTCAGTAGGTGACGTTATCTTTGTGCGCCCGACCACTAAACACAATCGTTCCGATCAAAGCCGACGGCATGCGGTTCTCCTCACCACAGAATAAGTGCGCAGATATATCTGCGCACTTATAAGGCTCTTTCCATCCGCGGAGAAAAGCACGCAAGGGAAATGAGGGCGCATCGGCGAATCACGACGAGCTGAGCGCCGACCTTTTCGCTGAGCGCGCTCATCACGCCAACTCGCCGGTAATGTGAAAACAAGCTATTTTTCAACGTGGTCAATATTAATAGCTTGCCGTTTCAACGGTGGAGGGGATCCTTCGTAGCTCAGTGGTTAACGCCGTGCGCTTACATATAAAAGGTCGTACGTTTAATTCCGGAGCAGTTTTCTGGATTATTTCTTTCTTTCTTGTGTTTTCATATATATACATACGTATACAGATACCATGAGTTCAGCCGAGAGTGTTCATATACATAATATTGCAACAGAACAAAATTCAAACCCACTTCAGGCCGACCTCTTCCTCTCCTTCTCATTAAAAATCTTCCTCAAAAGTGGTATGCACCAATCCAGTCTTAGCTACGCCACTGATTGCATACCTTGAAGATGTCACGCCAAAAGCAGCACCGGCTTAGCCAGTGGATGGTCCCGAGGCCAGCAGTAGCGCAGGCAATACAGCTACAACTTTGGCGTCTCGAAATGTAAACAACTACATAGGTCGCGAAAATCTTTTACCACCTGCATGCATGAAAAAGAGCAAATTAAAGGTCATTCGTTCGAAACTCTGTGTCAGTTACAGGCGTTTGTGTATAGGGCGTCGTACTGTTATGCGGCAAATGGTGCGGTAAATATTTCAGTCTGAATTGCTTTTATTCTCCGGTAAAAGTAAACTTTATTTTTGTACACCCAAGCTCCCCTCGTCTTCTACGAGTATTCAGCCATCAGCTCTTTTTGGAAGGATTCCAACCGATCAAAAAGTTCCAGCAGCTGGTTCTTCGGCGGAAGTATCACGATCCTGTTTAGAGAAGAGAATCAAAATGATAGGTCACAGTAAGTTGGAAAGCTGAATGGCCACGTGGAAAATTTGCAACTTTAGACAACTAGATTCTTCGTGCTCTGTTTGCGCTGTAAGTGCATTTCGTAGAACAGCATTCAAGCGCGTTGTTTCTTTTTGGACACATTTAGAAACTTAAGTTGAATATTTGAAGACAAACCACGTTTCGTAACTCTGCACTTAGAGCATCAGATTATTCCTCATGTCGTAGCAAAACTGCTCTATGTGTCTGAGAAATTTGTGGAACATAAAAATCTGAGTGCAAATCACGGTATATCATTTAAATTTTCGTTATTTACTGAGTTGATAATTACATGGAAGACGTAAAATTTTCGTACAGATGTACAGACTCGAAGTAGCGACTAATAAACAAGTTTCTTTGTTTTTATAACTGAAGCGATTGTTTCATAATCGGGGCACTTGGCCGAAATCAATAAGGTTAAAGCTCATTGCACAGTGTTCAAAACAATAATGAGGAAGCTTCGGTAAAGCTTTGTCCAGGTACTATTAGATCGCCCTTGAAATTTTTGACTTGCTCAATACCATACCTTTTGAGACTGTATGTCATCGTTTCTCGTTCAGTACGTACTAACGCATAATAGTTGGACTTGAGTATTAGAATAAAGCTTGCATGTTCATTGATATGTTCTGACTCATAAGTATATTAGTAGAAAAGGTAACAGTGTACGAGTTATAATTTCATTTATAGAGGACAAATAAAGTGCGGAGAGTAATTCTTTTCACTAAGATGTTGCGGTGCGTACAATTTTCGTGTGTAGAAATTTGGCATCCCATGGTTGCGATGCGCACGTACGTTATTTGGCTGATATTGTAGAGAAATAGATGAGGTTATTACGACGAAAGAGTTAAAAAATACAGCGCCATACGTACCGGTGCTACTGGCGTCAAAAGCGAACTCAAAGGAGTTCGCGAAAAGGCTCTGATGCGACTTGCAAAATAAGCACCTTAGATGCAGAAAATAGAATATAGAAACCGTTTCTGTCAACATAAGATTTACAAATTCTGCGCATGTGGTTTTTATAGGTTGATACCCAATCTTCCCGTTAACTTTGTGTAGTCTGTGCAAACCAGCACACCATTATTGTGTATAGCTATCTCATTGGGAGGACTTCCTAAACTTGTCTCAAATATTATTTTATACAAGAAGGCGTACGTGCCTACTCATCGGATTTGATTTCGCATTCTAAGAGTGTGTACATTTCAAAATATACATGCGTCGACATTGCGGAGGTCGCAGTATATTTTTAATATTCAACCGACACAATTTTATAGCCATAGGTGGTCAAGGTTAGAATGCCCTCAGATCATTGTCGCACAAAAACTTTTGGAAACACTGGAAGTGCAGATTCGTAAAGTACTAATCATAAGCACATGTGTAGAAACAGAAGAGTCACATTTTGCAATATATTTCCCGTGCATTGCAAAGTTTGCTCAGTAATTACGTAAATTGCACTTTGGATGACCATTTGTCTAGCTTAGAATTGGCTGCGGTGATATGAACTCCTGCTTCAGTTTATGGAGAAATGGGAAGGGTGGGAATCGCATCATTACCCCTGGACTGGCTTTTTAGATGCGAAGCGGCTGTGCGACTAGCCTGTGTAGTGCGGTCCATCCACGTTTCCGTATAAACGCGCTGCACCACGCTCCCCTCGCCACAGTTGTTCAAATGATGCCGCGTAGGTCAGGTCAGAGCTGCGCGTTGACGTCACTCTCTCCCTCACCCGCAGCGAAATCTGGCTCCTACTCCCGCTTGCAACACACTTCTCCCTCGATTTACCCTCTCCATCACCCCTATTGCTCGACCACACGTCGAGTGGAAACAGTTGACAGATTTAGTTGCACGTCCGTAGCAGCCATACGGACGTGGCCTGCCATTGCAAATGGCTAGCAGGCTGCACCCATATGATTGCTGCGGATGCGTGACTAAATCTGCCTACTCTTTCGGCTCGGTTGCTTGCGATCACACTTATGAAAGTCCTATACATAATATCTATTTGCCGACGTTCGCGTTCGTAACTGCGGCACGATTTGAAAAAAAATTGCCACGTCGGACATTTTGCTCATACTACGTTGTCAGCTTCTGAGTTCCCTCACCTACACTATCGTTGTAAATATCGCAGGTGCCCCTTCAGAAGGGCCGAGATAGCAGTAACTAAAGCACGATGCCAAGTCCCCCCACTGAACCTTTGCCTACACAGGTCTGGTCTGGTTCGGTCACCTTGGTGCCTCATTGCAATGAGAGTGATTCCCTGAATCGTTTTCTTCTAACGCGCAGATTGTTTACCCATCAGAGGAAAATACTCCTAGATAAACCGCTTAGAAGGATGCGAATAAATTCATTGCCTCTACTGGTTCTTTGCTTCGTGGCTGCCATGCTGGTTTTTTTGCCACATGAGCGTTTGCAAGGCCTTATGCGTTTCCCTATGTGAGACGAGAACAGTGAAATGGTACTTTATCGAAATAAATCAGATTTTTATAGAAATTAGTCATCTTCATCGTTTTATTTATGAGAACGATTTGAATTCCTAGGTTAGAAAAACGAAGTATATTCATTGAAAACATTATTCTTCTTTGTTTGTGAATTATTTTGATAAGTGATTTCAAACCTATCTATTGTCTAATATGTGAATATTATGAAAGAATAATTTTATAACGCATTTTATGGCTGATCCCCCAAAGTAGGCTGCGCCAGGAATCAATCCGGTTGCAGCACGTTTGCAGTTAGTTATGCAACACACCTCATGTGAAATTTTCCAGGCAGCCTCCCAAACGCAGAGCTCGGCGTAACACTAACGCCTTTTCTGCGTAGCAACTCTTCGGCGTAAAACACATCAGCCTCCATTTCCCGACGCTGCGCGGAGAAAAAAAATTGCTTGTAAAAAATAGAACAACCATCGCTGGGGTTTAACCACCATAACCACGATATGCTTACGAATGGCACCATAATAAAGCACTTTGAAAGGTTAGACCTTTTGAGATAATTTAACCTCCACATATATTCAAGTACATGGACTTCGCCCATTTTCACACTCTTCATTGGTGCGGCTGCTGTGGCCGGGCTTAAATTATGCTACTTTCGCGGACATTGTAAAATCCGAGAAGTAAAATGATCACTGTAAGGAATGGCCAATGAGTATTCACATAAATATTTCATTCAACGACCAGCTCAGTTTTACAATAACGTGAACAATTGTCGAAAAGAACAACTCCGTATAAATTTTTGCAGAAATTAAAAAAGGAACTATTAATACGTAGGCTTTCGTGTGATGATAACATGTGGTACGTCGCCGCTAAATATTCCTATTCAATTTGACGACCTGATGTCCTTTATCATGCGCTTCAGTATAAACGTGGGGCATTTTCTCACATTATGCCTGCAGAGACCATAAACATGCCATACTGGCAGGTCGTCTTGCCAGATGCTAGATAAGTTATTTCACTTATAATGTGCGTTTACGAAATAAGGCCGCAATCTTATAGGCTCTTATTTTCTGTCGTATATTATTTTGTTCTTAAAAAAAGGTGAAAGCTGGACTTTCGCATATGCTCATGCCTATTGTTCGCGAAAATTCTTAGTCAGCTCACGGAGGCCTTTTTCCCCTTACCTCCGCCTCTTCTATTGCCCTCACTGGAATAGTCACACGGGGATAGGCAGCCATAGACCCCTGCACTCGACTACAGTGGATTCCATCAATGGCATTCAACCTCTCTTCCGCCAGCCGAGCTCGTTCGGCTAAGGAGTCCAGGATCAAGCTTTTTTCCTGAAAGAGTGCGTTTTGCAAAACAGCTCGATAAAATAAAACACGCATTTTTGAATGAACAACTATGAAAAATGTACATGAGTGAAAAACTAGTATAGATATTCATTGGCACCTAAGCTTAACTTGCGACACTTTTGACCACTTCATTCATCTGCCAGTGCATGCAACATAATAGTTGCAATGCGAGAAAAAAAGTTCATTATTTTTATGTGCATTTCTTTCGAGACATTGTTCACACTAAAATTATTCCTGGCCGTAGGTAAATATGTGCCTGGGAAATACTGTACTATGATACAAGGACGGAAGTAGGTCCATGCACGGAAGGTCGCAATGACTCCAGCTTGTGTGTCGCAAACAAAATTTTTGAACCACCTCTTCATGGAACATCTTTCGCGCACTCAAACGAGTGGCTTTTAAGCACCGTCCGATGTTAACGCTTATGCCCTGTTTGTAAAGTGTTGTCTCCTTCATTGGATCTTTTAAAATACATGAAAATGCCTTAAAAGAGTAGTTGTACTATATTTTATTTACATCTCATCAAGGGAAGTCGTGTTCTCATGTTACACAACGAAGGCCTTTTCTGCATACGTGGCATGCTCAGTTTCTATATGAAGGTGCGGAGTCAATACATTCGTATATCCGCCAGTTTTCGGATATCTCAGAAATCATGAGTTAGACGCTGTGACGCCCTACATAGTTTCACAGAAACAACAGCCATCAAGTTGGGAATAAAACGTGAATTTAGGAGGTGTAGTTACATGACTAATAATGAAACTTTTTCAATAGCCAACTAATACTGTTAGCCGTAGAGTTTCTCTACAGACACGTCCGGTGCCTTATGTCATAATGTTTCAAGTGAACTTGGCAATTTTGCTACATAAAGCGTGCCTGATACCTGAAAGAAAAAGGACAACGCACATCAACCATCCTAGCCTCTAACAATTCTGGCATGCACCAATATTTACATCCTGTATTCATATGTTGGACGTATAAGAAGACGGTGCGACACTTTTCAAGTAGTGATCAAGGTAGCAAATCAATAAAGGATCTTCTCGCCTTACTAAATCAGTGCTACCGAAACTTGAGAGTCCCTCCAGTACGAGCGGACTGACAAAAATTTACAGCACGCTGCAACAGAGCATTTCAAGTTATCCCAGAACCCCACGTGAGCGCACAAGGCACTTTGGAAAAAGTGTGCACGTTGAGCGCACGGGCTATTCCGTCGCCCAATCCTCGTTGGCGCTGTGGAACCATCCAATGTAAAAAAAGTGCCACTTGGTAACCTGTTAATAAATCCTAAAAAGTACGCAAGTCTGAAGAGACCTGCATGTATCTCGACACATGAAATGCAAAAGGAATGATGCATTCAGTCCATATTGCCACACGAATGTACGCAGCATGTAGCAGTTCATTGACATGCTATTTATGGCGTACCGATACATGCAGTCGGAACGGGCTATCAAGAGCAGTGTAAGCTGAAACAACAAATTCATAATTATTCAACAAATGCATATTCAGAAGCTCTTTAAGTAATAAGAGAGGAGTACAGTGCTCAGACCTACAGGTTAATCCATTTTTATCGGCGAGTCATGTGGTATACAAAGTGACCACACTTTGAACAAGTTTAAAAAATGAGATGGAAACCGAATGCATTTGCGAGGTGCCTTTCCTTTATAATTTGAACTTTCTTGCTGCGTGCTTTTGAGTGTAACTTAGAAGTATGGCAGTTTGGGCTAGTTGATATGACATGACGATAGTTATAGCGCAAAAACAGAATGACGACAAAAGACAAGAAGGAGACAAGTGCTAACTTCCAACTGAGTTTACTGCGCAGAGCGCGAAAACATATAGAAGAGACAGTAAAACATGTGAAAAAACCATGTGACTGATTGATATATGGGCTTTAACATCCCAAAACCACCATATGATTATGAGAGACGCTGTAGTGGAGGACTCCAGAAATTTCGACCACCTGGGGTTATTTAACGCGCACCCAAATTGGGACACATGGGCCTACAACATTTCCGCCTCCATCTGAAATACAGCCGCCGCAGCCGGGTTTCGATACCGCGACCTGCGGGTCAGCAGCAGAGTACCTTACCCACTAGACCACCATGGTGGGGCAACCATGTGACAGAAAGAGCCATGCATGAGTAAGGGAAAAAAACAAAAGCAAAGAAAAAGGCAAAGAAATATCTACAAGGAAACAAAACAGAAAGGTAAAACTAAACATTCTATAACTACTCGCGTGCACCAAAACCTTGGAAGAACCTTAGTTCCTTCTTGGACAGAGACTCGGAGGGCTTGCTAATGCATGATACCTGTTCGCTTGCCATCTGCACCGCCTCGACAATAACGCGGGTGCGCTCATTGGGTGCTTATACAACGTCACTGTGTACTTGAAAAGGGGCACACAGTTGCACTCAGTGCAGTGCTTAGCAAGCAAAACATCATTCCTGTTTCTAACATTGTTAGCGTGTTCTCTCAGTCGATCGTTCAGACACCTTCCGGTAGTACTGACATAACAAGCACTACAGGAAAGAAGGGTCCTATTGACAGCTTCCCGGCAATACGCCACATACCTGTTCCTATGCTTAACTCTGCATTCAGTTGATGACTGCTTTTTCAGGGTGTTTATAGATTTTGTGAGACTGATTAATACGGGGGCTTTATTGTACCGGGACTTTATTGTACTGAGTGCGGGGGCTTTCTTGTACTGAACAGAATGATGATGTTCTCTCAGAGACACCTAAGGTGGACGAAGCTAAAAGAAATATTTCGTCTTCGGGTTCTTATTATGCGCCTCTCGTGCGAATGGGTTGTCGTTTTTACCAGTGCATAGCTGGGCACAAATGGGGACGCGGCAATATTAAGTGGTTATTATTTATATAAAAATCGAAACATATAGCAGACCAATGTAAAAAGTGCGCACATATTCCTTATAATTATCATTATTTATTTCTGGTATTTTTATTGAAATGTTTGAAAAACTAATGTTTCTTTCGCCTAAAAATATTCTAGGCATTCCCCTCTTGGTTTCTAGAATGGCCGATTCCTCAAGGTGCTTGGACAGAATCCTCTTGGGTCTAAACAACCAAGTTACTAGCATACCGGCATTGTGCCTTCTTTCCCTCACAATGTATATATATATATATATATATATATATATATATATATATATATATATATATATATATATATATATATATATAAGGGAAAGAAGTGTATACCTAAGGGCTCATTTTTACGTGTTTTGACACAATATTAATGAGATCTAACAGACAGTAATGCCAAGGATTGTACAGGGGAAGTTATTAGAACCAATGGAATGTAAATAGGAAAGAAAAGTGGGTGAAAAACTCACCAGCCGTGAGAAGGAATCGAACCTACGACCTTCGAATGACGCGTTCGATGCTCTAATCACTGAGCTATCGCAGCGGCCTACCCTCCATCCACTTTCTTGGGTTTATATGTGAATTCAGAAGTAGGAGTATATATAAATATGTATATATATATATATATTTATATATATATGTGTGTGTGTGTGTGTGTGCGTGTGTGTGGTAAATGCGATCTAGCAGACAATGATGCCAACGAGTGTTTAGGGGAAGTTATTAATACCAATGTAATGTAAATCAGAAGAAAAGTGGGTGAAAAATACTTTGCTGTGAGCAGGAATCGAACCTACGACCTCCGAATCTCCGAATTACGCGTTCGATGCTTCCCCTATACATTCCTTGGCATTATGTTCTGTTAGATCTCATTTAGTGTTGTGTCAAAACAACATTAAATGAGATCTAACAGACAATACTCTTTCAATATATTTTTCAGTATATATATATATATATATATATATATATATATATATATATATATATATATATATATATATATATATATATATATATATATATACGTGGTGAAAAAAAAATGTCGACAAACGTGTGAAAACACAAGTTTTACTAACGTTTCGGCAGGTGGGCCTGCCTTCGTCAGAGTGAATGGTTACAGATGGCACACAGTGCACATATATAAGCCGCTTCTTTGCATATCACACGGCCAAGTCATTATCAGTAGTTTAAGAAACAAGAATATATTTATTTATTTCTTTATTTATTTTAAAATATTGCAGCCCCGTTATGGGGCTATCGCAGGAGTGGGTACACAGCAAGAAATAATAAAAAGTACAAAACAAAACAGCTGAATACACAACTACAATGGCAGATCATAGAATAACAAAAATTTTACAGAGTTATACAAACAATGAAAGGTTCACAGCACACCGTCTTTTAATGCCTCCAAAAATTCATCTTTCTGCAAAGACCGAATGTGACCTGGTTTGAAGTTCCACATTTCAATACATCCGAGGAAAAAGGTGTATTTGAAGAAATCAGTACGAGGATGAAACACAGATACATTAAGTGCGTGGCTTTTTCTGGTGGATGATGGTTTGGCAGGTGTTATGTAGTTGTTGTGTGGTGAATATTGCGGTGAATTAAATAAAGAGTGAAAAAGTTTTAAAGACTCGATGTCTCGTCTTTTAGAAAGTGATGATAGACCAAGCTGCGCTAGATGGCATGATGGTGAAAAATTACGATCATAGCGTCTGTAAATGAATCGAATAGCTTTTTTCTGGATGGATTCAACGCGTTTTATGTCAGAGATTTTATAAGGGTACCATACAGTGGCTCCATACTCAAGGATCGGTCGTACGAGAGTTTTGTATGTAAGCAGTTTTGTTTCTCTTGGGGCTAAACGTAGTTAGCGGTTAACGTATCCAAGTTTCTTCACAGCCTTGTTGCATGTTGTATCGATGTGACTAGACCAAGATAAGTTAGTAGTGAAAAGGAGACCAAGGTACTTATTTTGTGAGACCCGCTGCACTACATAGTTATTAAAAGAATAATCAAACACAGATGGGGTTTTCTGTCTAATGAAACACATAGCAGCTGTCTTTTGAAAGTTAATGCTCATCTGCCAATTTTAGCACCACCTGCAAA